GTTTTTTAGAGAAGGCTTATTTCAAGAAAAAACCTTTCGAGCATGGAAAGGGCCATTTCTTTCAATTAAGACTAAATTTAAGTAAATTGTTTTTAATATGGCCTTCGTTTATAAAGTTTAAAATCGGTCTATTTTGATATTTTTGTTAAAAATATTTTTAAATATAGATATTTTTGTGTACTTGATTTTTTTGTTTACTTGTATCTTTGAGCGATTAATGTAAAAATAATTTGCTCGCATGTACTCCATTTTAATTTCCGAAGGACAAAAAACGATGAGTCGTAAAATTATAATTTTGGATTTTATTTACAGAAATGTTCAATGTATTGTTTAAAGAGAGTCGCATTTTAACAGGTATAAGTCTGACCTTTAATTTGGTAAAAATTACGTAACGATTGAATACTATTTGTCAAAGATCTATGAAAAACCTTGATCCATCTCTAGTTTTTTTCCTACGTTTTTCTTCATTTGTAAAAATAACTTAAAAATATAAGAAAAGGAATCGAGAATCAATTAAAATTAATTTTAAAGTCCTCGGGAGATCCTTTGAAGGACTATGAAACTGGTAAATAATGCTCTTTATGATAAGTGTGATTAGTAATTTGTATCCTATAAATCCTTAATCACGATTAAGTTTCATGTTTTATTTAATTCCTGAGTAGAAAAACACATAAAATAATTTTATGCAATTATGCAAATACACAAAAAACCGGTTGGGCTTAGAGAGGGAAAAGCAAAAGTCAGAAGTACAAAATTTCACATTATTTACTCACCCCCTCTCTCCACCAACGGCATATTTCCAAAAAATACTTGAATCCACGAGTTACCAACTAATCAGTTTAATTGCATTTGGCGCTGAACCCATTACAGCAAGTGTTTCTTTTTCAACTGTAATCAATTATCTAAATGTGCTTAAATATTTAGGTGAAGGTATTTATCATTTATTTGCTATTTTCCTATTTTTAAAGATTATTAATAAAAAAAAGTATGAGTACCGGTCTGTCAGGTCTTGAGATTAGACGTATGTTTTAGAAAATTGTATGTAGTGTTCGAATATATAATTGGATCTTTTCGCACGACTTTGCAAATATATGTAATTTTCCATATTCTTAATTTTTGATTTTCAACTTCTTTTTGCATAATTTCGCGAAAACAATTTTTCGAACAATGGAAAAATCTCACCAAACATTGGGAAAAAAGAGAATATGAACACCCACGATTGAGAGAATACAAAGGTTGCGCCGATCTCGGACCGCTATTCCTCTCTTAACGAATTTGACAGAATCGTTGTTTGCATGACGTCACACTGGTGCAACTTGTTTACGTTTTCCTTGCAACATTTTTTCTTCTTCTTCCATTCTTGCTCACGTTTTGGCATTTCTCTCTCGCAATTGCACCAGTGTGACGTCGCACAAAAGTTATTCTCAAAAATCCTCTCTGATCGGCGCAATCTTGTATTCTATCATTCTTGATGAACACCTATATAATTTTAAATATAACTTTTGTTTTCTGAGAGTGGAAAGTAGGAAACAAAAATTAAAATTAACATTTAATGGCTGGCCCCATATTTTTTGTGAGTTTTGCACGTTATAGTGATCCAATCCTCCCCCATATTTTATATTTGGGGTTTCCTAATAAAAGACAGAGTACAAACTAAATTTCATCAAAAGCCGATGAAATTTAATATTTCGGACACAAGAGTGACGGGCGTGGCAATTATTTCATCTTTACAAGTTTCATAATTCCCTATTTCTAAATAAAACTAGAGCACAAGTCAAGTTTCAGCAAAATCGGTGGAGGTTTACTAATACTAATCGAAAGACTGTGCGCTCTGTCAAAATCTGACAGCGTTGACGACACGTTGAAATATGAGTGTTGTTTATAATTTTTTAGGTTTTTAAAACCTGTTTCTATTCTGTCTATAACTATTTCCAGTTTCCCTGAGCTTAGCAAACTTTTGTCGTTCCGCACGTGTCACTTTATTATTATTGAGATCATAAATTATTACCATAAATATATGAGTATGTATGAAGATTCCCTAACGGTACCTTACCTCATCTACCACTCACCTTTCCGTTCAAATAAAATGCCGCCGCGCTACTCTCCAATTGGTGTGTACTACTATTACTGCTACCGCGACCACTACTAGCACTACGCGCACGTTCGCGCTCACGTTCACGCTCCCTTTCTCTCTCCCGCTCCCTTTCGCGCTCACCACTGGATCGCTTTTGCACCCGTCCCAATACTATGGGCATACTCTCGTCCTGCGCCTGTGTCGGCAATACAACAACGCTGTGCGAATGATGGGCATGGTGGTCAGATTTGCAGCTGTGCTATCGCCAACTTGTTTGGAAATGGTAGCAATTTTCGTTTCATAGCTGCATAGTGAGCTAGCATTATTATTGGTGTTGTTGTTTTTGTTACTAGCGTTGTTACTTGTATTGGTGTTGGTACTGGTGGTATGCATTGCACGCTTCAAAGTGCCGCCAAGGCTGTTGACTTCGCTCGCAGAAGTTTGCTGTAGACTATTGGAGGATTTTGCACGTTGCGAGTAACCCAACGAAGTGGCAGTGTTGGAACGACCCGAGCTGCTGTTGCCATGCGATGAGACTAATGTCGATGACGCTGATGATGTTTGGGATGCGGCTGATGACTGACTGACGGCGTTCAATTTGCTACTCAATGCCGAGAGAAGTGCGCTACTGCTGGCACATTGTGCAGCATTGCTCAGCTGGGTAGCTGCCATATATGACATGGGCACATGTTGCACCGGACACTGACAAGTGGGTTTTTTGCTAGCCGATGATGTAGTGCCCGCATTATTACGCGTGCTATTATCTGATTTACTTTTACCAATGCCATAGGCCTCTTTGGCACTCAACGGATCGGTGAGAGCGAAGTAACGCGGTATAGTGCGGTGGTAACGGCGGGAAGAGGAGGGAGTTTTGCTACTTTGACTGCCAGGGCTGTTGGCACTGCTGCTACCGCTTTTGAGCGTTTGCGTGTGTGCATTTGTGGGCAGCGTATGAGCCCCGGCCACGGCGCTAAATGTAGTTTGTGTGATCGAGTCGCTGGTGTTGCTGGATATTGTGGCGATTTCTCCGCTCATCAATGGCAACACATCAATACTGGGCGTGGAAATGGCGCCAGCCATATGTGAACCAGCGTATTGGGAAGATGTTGGCATCGTAGTAGCAGTAAGCAATTCCATATCATTACTGCTGCCACCGATGCTGCCGCTACCACTAGGCAGTGAGTGATAACCAACGGTGGCACCGCTGATTTCTACATCAGCAACAGTCACAAATTGCTGCAGCATATCGTGTGCAACATGTGTCGCTTGAATGGGCAGTGTAGTGCGATGCTGTGAGCGGCGCTGCTGTGTTCCAGCTACAGCCGATGCCGATGTAGTGCTAGCGCTTATATTTAGATGGCAATTCTTATAGCTGCACTCATTGTTGGTCGATGATGACGATCCAACTGAAGAAGCCATGGCCTGTTGCAATGCCTGGCAAGCGACATTTGCAACAAGCTGATGATGATGCTGCTGATGCTGATTATGAAGCGATTTCCCAGTGCCAGCAATTTGTATAGATTGAGAAGTTGGCTGATTGCTTGAATTTGTGACGGTATTGCCGCCGCCACCAGCGCCTCCCGTAAGAGTTTGTACACATATTGAATTGCTGGGTGTGGCGGTGGTCAAGTGAAGACGTCCACCGCTGCTATTGGCTATGTGAGTGGTATTTATTAACTGTTGCTGCTGCTGTAATGGCTGCGTTAGCTGTTGATGGTGCTGCGACTCTTGCAAGACCGTTCCACTACCCTCGTGTTGTAAGCTGAAATGAAAACATTTATTATATTAAATATGTATGTACGTACGAGTACATAAATGTGCAGATAGCCTCGAAAATACAAGTGTACGTACGAGTACATAAATGTGCAGATAGCCTCGAAAATACAACCAAAGATTTAGTCGTCTTGGCCAAAAGGGTGTCATAATTCCTTTAAAAACTCAAATTTTTTAATTCAATTGCTTGAATTTATTAACGAATGTACATCCAATATTTAAAATGTTAAATTTTTTCACTATTTCTTATAAAAATACCCACTCGGGNATTTTTTAATTCAATTGCTTGAATTTATTAACGAATGTACATCCAATATTTAAAATGTTAAATTTTTTCACTATTTCTTATAAAAATACCCACTCGGGAAATGCCGTGAAGTGCAAGTTGCTGGTAAGGTAATGCACTTCACCCGTCGGTCCTTACCACTTCACTGACGAATCTCCCTTACTTTAAGAAAGGCGTAGCCGCATTATGTAAGTGGGAATTTAGAATGAACATTTGGTATCAGACATACTTCTGAGCCGCCTTACAAAGTAAGTTACGTAGAATGTAAAGCAGTCGCTCGGAGTAGTTCGGCGCTTGGAAATAACTTCGGTGGCACGTTATTTTGCAACTGACAACGTAATGCGTCGTCGGAGGTGTTTATTTTGTGCTTTACTAGTAGATGACATTGGTCATGACAACAATTTTGGTACTAAAAACTGAAAGAAAACATGTAAGGCGCTTACCTATTTACCCAGTGGGTATGTCTTATTGTATAACATACGCTGTATGTATATGTAAGTTAAAATTTTTAAACTTTGGGCAAACATCAAATACATTCAACAAATTAAATAAAAAAAATGTTCTTCAAAATTTTAAACTCTTTATTCGGATTTTTTAGAAGCCAATTTATATTATAAATTAATGTGCAAGTTTGTAGTGGCTAAAAATTACCGTTGCTTTTTGATAACTTTTTTTTGCTGGGGCCTTTCGCACTTTCTTCCGCTCAGCTCACTTGAATTTAAATACAGATTAGAGATTAAACATATGTATGTATGTATATTAGACTGATTCAAACCAAAAAAAAAACGGATCAAAATCTTTAAAATCATCAAGAAAAAATATGTTGCTGAAAATTTTAGAGAAAACGCTGACCTAAACGAACGGTTGCTCAACGCGAGTTTTAATTTTCACCAAGTCGCGCACCTGAAATACATCTTTGTCATAAATATCGCCTATTTTCCACAACTTTTGAGCTAAATGTCTGAAATTTCGCGCATACCATTGCTAAAAACCATCAAATTGACTAATATAAAATTAAGTTTTAAAAAATTGTTCGCGTTAATAAATAATTAATAGTTAATTAACGAAAATTTTTTAGTTAATAACTATTGCTCCCAATAACTTTTTGAACTCAAATTTAAGAAGAACATTTAGGACTCGTTCGGAAACTATAATACTACAACAAAAACATCCTCACTCATAATTTGATGGAGTTAAATAAAAGCTTTTTTAACTTCAGCGGTAAGTTCTTTAGTGATTTAAAATTAAATAGTCAAAATTTCCCGGAAAACGCAGCTCATTAATCGAATCCCCGCAACGACACATATTATCCCCATATCGAGGAATTCCCCGCAAGTTGGCAACATTGCACTGTACATAAAAACGTAATTTTTGAAGTTTTCAAATTTTCCAAGAAAGAGATTGTTATATGAGACCATGAGGTAGTATTCAAATGTTTCCATTCCCAGTTTTATTCCATCCTCTTAATTTTTTTGAGATATTGACACACTAAGTTAGATGTTATATCTTTTTCTAAAACACATCTTATAATAAAATTTAGTACGTAATTTTTTCAAGAAGCCCACCTGAAATTATACGACGAATCATTTTGTGAATCCCGCAGCCCAAAAACGTTATATTTCCCAAATTATTCCACATAAATGTTCATAAAAAAGTTTAACTACCCTGAAGATAATTTACGCAGGCCTTCTTAAGAGAAGCCATTCTAAAAGCCTTACCCAAGAAGGGCCTAAAAAAGAACTTCCCTGCTTGCCTTCTATAAGGGCTTTTTCTATTCAAAATTTACGCGAAAGAACACGATTATATTATTTAACATTAAAGATGAATAAGCACCTTAAAAAAGTATGATTTTTATGACTTAAATAACAGCTACGACAAAACTCCTCCACAGGGCATTCGAAGTCCGACCTACAAAAGCCCTACTGGAAGGCCACTCCATACAAAAAACAAAGGAATAAGGAATGTAAAGTGAAATGCCTCCTGACTCTCCGTAAAGCCTTTTCGAAGGGCTTTTAACTCCTGAAAAGAACAACAACTTTATTAAATACTATTCAATTGTATATTCAACTCTATTTAACCCTTTCTAATACTTCCTTGATAAATATTTTGCTTAATCTTGCCATTTTCCGCTAATGTGTATACCATGATGAAAACATAGTAAGGTAAAACCGCTCACTCAATTCGTCGGCTAAGATTTTTTTTTTTTTTTTTTTAAGTTTGCCAACATTTTAAAATCATATAAAATTGAGAGTAAAAAAGAGCAATTGTTCAAAGTTATTGTCCTATTTTTTATCATGGTGCGGCGCCACAAACTATGTTAGCGTTCATAACGCACACACACACGTAAGTTTCGTTTATTTATTTACTTATAAAATAGTGATTATTTTGCAAGATTCTTATAAATGAACCTTTTCGCTTACAGGTTCCTATTCGCTTTTGGTTTTGCCTGTCCAAGTGCAGCAGCACCCTTTCGTAAGTGCTTACTTTATGCACATATGTACTTTTTTCTACACAACAACAATAACAACAACAACAACTGTAACAGATACTATTCATATAATCGCCACAACCGCGTAGACTACCCCACTACACTTTTAATCGAATTTTCTTCAACAACACAACATCAACCTTCTTATACATATATTT